AACCACTTTAAGAAAATGTTGTCTTTATTGGCATATTATTCCATTGAATGAATTACATTAAACATCAAAATGTCAATCTTACCAAATACTATATATACAAGTCAGTAAGATTAAAAACAAGGAAATGCAGATACAAAAAACAAATACATTTGAAATGATTTCATTGGCCTAGCACACATTCATCTAGAATATATTGAATGTTTAAAGGATAGTTGTTATTGTCCCCATAAGGGCTGCCCAACAATCATGGAACTTAACAAAAAATCACTGAACACCTAGTGGCAACCCAGTGATATGATAGGACTAGTGAACTGTGAGTAAGGCAGTACAGGCTGCCTGATGGAGGATTGCTTTTTATATACTGTATGTACAGCTAGCCTTGAAAATGTACTGGTGAATGTAAACCAGGTCCAACAACACATATTCATAAAACATCTACTATACATGAAAATATCTCACACAATACAAATAATCTATAGGCATAGGAACTATGAAGATGCTTCCAAAAATGCTGTGAGGGTTGAAGAGACAAGTGTTGTTCATTTTGGGTCAGAACTGAAACCAATGGGCTATGAACTCAGTAGTGGTTGTTACTTCTGCTATCCCTTTCGGTAGATTGCTGCTTTCCAATAACATTTATAAATATGTCTCAGCCATTCAAAAATTCTGATGAGCCCCAAATATATGAAATACTGAGAATCTCAATTGACAAACTAAAATAAAAGTCCATCATCTTGAAATAGAAGTCCATCCAGCAGATACGTCCTGGAAAGCAGAGTCATTACAACTGGGTCATAGTAACTGTTTGGTTGTCGCTCACAATACTACTTTCCTCACTTCCAGACTTGGGGCAAACTTCTTCATTATCTCTACCACTGAATAAACGGCGAAGGAAGGCTGGCCTCATTATGTGTACAGTCAAGAGGGTAATGCTAATGAAAAGGCAAAGCAAACCTAAAAAAGGAAAAATAAAAACAACTATGTAAAAATAACTTTATAAAATGTCAGGGTAATAAATTACATTTTACTTTCTGAACACAATGCAGGATTGTACAGTAATCATCTAAAGTCTTTGGGAAATATAGAGCCTAATTCTAGCAATTTAAAAATAAAATGTGTTATTCTTTTTGTTAGGTTTTTATTTATGCTTTTGATCCCACTGTGGAGATTTTTATCTTCCTGTGATGCCCATAAGAGAAATAAAGGTTGTCAGGAAGGTACAGTCATCAGTAAAAGCATTGTCAGTCTTTCTAACCATTCACTACTTAATTAAAATATGATTTTGCTTTTGCTTGTGTTTGCATTGGAAAGGTTTCCTATCACTTCCTGTCCTGACAGGAAATAAGGGGAAACCTCACCAACTGGAGAAATAAAAATCTGGCAGAGGCCCTCCTATACTTTATCCAAAATGAAAGTGTATCTAAACTTGAAAACAAAAATGTTATATATTCCAGCTTACCAACCCTTAGAGCTGGTGGCTGCATTAGTTTTTTGTCTTTATTTCTTTTCCTTTATTCCTGCCTGGTGATCTGGCCAGTAAAACACTTCCTGTCTTAGGGTGGCTCTTTTATTTATGGAGGAGCAATGAAGACCCCATTGGACAGCAGCAATGTCTGGGGGGATTAGTGTTGGATGGACTAGAAGATTTAGAAGAATTTTACGTAAGTGACAAATTAAGGCTAACACCAGCTACCACCTTTTGAGCAGTTACAGAAACATTTTTTTTTTTCCATTTAGAATGAGGGTTTTACTAATATGATCAAAAGCTGACAATTGTAAGGACCCCTGTCGGTGTTAAAGGAGAACTAAACCCACCAATTTCACTACTTTGCAAAAAAGTTACATTCAAGGTATGCCTCTGGTGATACTGTGACTGTAACTTTTGCCCGTGTGCCTTTGTCCCTTCTCAATCCATATTTTAAGTTCTCAAATGCCTGGTGCCGTAGCTGATCACATATGCAGCCACATGGTTACTACAGATCTAAACAGGCTAAGATGGCACCTTCCTCAGCTGAAAAGGAGACGCAGGTTTAGTATCACTTTAATTTGTTTGTCTCAACCCTGGAACTTCCACTTTTCCTGCAAAGATTGGTCTGTTAAAGGAAGCTGAAACGTAATAACAGGATCAACAAGTAAAAAAATAAGTTACAGGGGGCACTCAGAAAAAAATACTATTTGGTTAATGCCTACATCATATACAGTATGTCTTTTTTATTTTGCCTTTAGTACCACTTTAATTTTTAAGAAATTGGCTGGAGTAGGGCTTTAAAATTTTTCAGTATTTTGTCAGTGTACTGTAGTATATGAAGCCATCTTAGGACTTCAGTGGCTGCCATTTTTATTTTTATAAATGCTTTGATCTAAAAATATATTTTGCAACTTTTTGGTTTGCAATGCATTTCACATTCCAATCTAAAATGTGAAAGAAAAATTGAGTTATCACTATATAATCCTAGTTTTCTACTGTCTAGTGATAGTCAGGTCAGTATATTTCAGGTTGTCAAAAATGAATGTGAAAAGACAAGACTCTCCAATGATTCCAAGCGCTATCATAATAAATATACAAGGAGGATGAAGATGTTGCTTCAACACTTAATCTGTATACACTATTCTGGTCAATAACTCAAAACTGTTGTAGCCACAGGATCACCACCCCAACTGGATAATTAGCATTTCCAGAACAAAAGGTCAGCAATGACAGCATGCCTATAGTATTTCCCGCTTTTTTCTTGTTAAATATTAAATAAAAATAAAAGGCAGCACCTCCAACATATTGTTCTAATCACCAACATTATTGGGTCTATTTATTGATTACTATGAACTCTTTCTTCAATCTCAATGTATACATTTTCATTTGAAATGTTATCCATGTTTATTGGGTGGACATTTGTCATTTCCACTATTCATTTTGATGTCAAATTTTGATGTAGTTTTAGTCATTGTCTTTTGACCAAAATGCCATTTTAGTTTTAGTCGCATTTAAGTAATCAGGAATTGTTTTAGTTTTAGTCATATTTTAGTCAACAAAAATCTCCAGTACATTTTAGTTGACTAAAATCTCCAGTATCTTAAACAAATAAAAATATTGCTTTTTGACAAAGACTGCAACTTTAAAATATAAAAAAACCCAAAAAACTGTCATCTCTATTGGCTGTAATGCCATTGCACATAAAACCTGAACTTTAACAGTTCTCTGTTAATAATGAAAACAAGTATCAGTAACATTATAACTAAAACCATGTTTTGTAAAACAATAATATTGCTCTTTGACCACTGTTAATTTTGTCGTCAAATTTAGAGCTAGTTTTAGTCAGTCTTTTGACTAACATGCCATATTTTAGTCATCTGAATTAAAACAGAATTTTATTTTCGCATAGTTTTTGTCTCTGAAAACATGCAGCTGATGAAAACTATGATGAGGTTGATGGGTGATTCTACTAAGAGTTCTTAAAATTGCTGTTCCTGTGGAGTCAATCCTTTACACTTCATCAGATAGATATGTCAGTGATATATATTTATTTAGAATTTTGATCAGCTTTGATAATGTTCAGCATTCTAATGGTTAACATTGTGTTACAAGGAATTTATTAAAAACAAGAAAGTGCATACTCTAGGCTTTTGGATGTCTACACAATGCCGACAATGGATGTCCCATAGTAGGCCAATGGGTTATGTCATCTCCCAGGCATTTCCAGATGTTGCCAGCATCCTCTGCTGTACACAGAAGCCACTGCTGGAGACTGAACCAGAGAGGCTTCAAAATAAGTAAGTATATAGATCTTTTCTTTACAGGGTTAGATAGAATAGCCTTAGAATGGGGATGGGAGTAGATTTAGCCTTAGTTAGGTTTTGCCTGAACGTCCACTTTAACATTTGCCACTGAAAGCGTTTAACCTTCCTTGAGCCTATGCCCGGGCTCTACATATGACCTCAAATTCTTACATTGTGCCTAAACTTCCACTTTAAAAAATATAAATTATGATACATGTTTTGTCATCATTCAGGTGCACCTAAGACACAATGATGTCTAAGTACAGCTCTGGGCATGACCTGACAATATATCCTGCCTTCTCTCCTATTAAGGTGTCAGTTTACATGGGTGAGTTTCAACAAAGGTTTGCTGTAAGAACTAATCTAAATACACATTATTATTATTATTATTATACAGTATTTATAAAGCGCCGATAGTTCGCTCAGCACTGTACATTACAAAGGGGGACAGAACATGTGACAGAACAATAACAATACAATGCAAAACATGAGGGGATTGAGGGTCCTGCTCTTTCGAGCTTACAATCTAGGAGGGAGGGGATGGTGGCACAGGAGGAGATAGCTGTGGGGGATGGAGTGGTAGGAAGAGTGGAGGAGGTCTGCAAGTTAGCAGGAGGGGTGGGGTAGGCTTCCCTGAAGAGATGGGTTTTCAGGGTGCGCCTAAAGGAGAGGAGAGTAGGTGATAATCTGATGGGTTCGGGCAGGGAGTTCCAGAGGATGGGTGACACCCTGGAGAAGTCCTGGAGGCGGGCATGGGAGGAGGAGACCAGGGAACTAGAGAGAAGGAGGTCTTGTGAGGAGCGGAGTGTGCCTGTTGGGTGGTACTTGGATATTAGGTCGGTGATGTAGTTCGGGGCAGTATGGTGGACAGCTTTGTACGTCAGTGTTAGGATTTTGAATTTGATCCGTTGCGCAATCGGAAGCCAGTGGAGGGATTGGCAGAGGGGGGGTGGCGGAGATGGAGCGGTTGGAAAGGTGAATGAGTCTGGCTGCCGTATTCAGGATCGACTGAAGCGGGGATAGCCAGCGGCGAGGCAGGCCAGTAAGGAGGGAGTTGCAGTAATCGAGTCGTGATATGATGGGGAACTTCTTTTTTATTTTGATTTGCATGTTTCTCAGTAATCAGTAATGTAAAAAATGTTAAAGTCAGTTGGTCAGTATAAAAGCCAGGCAACAACTGGAATTTTTAGAAGGTGGTCATCAATGGAAGTCCTCATATTTAACAAGGGTTAAAGGTTAAACAATACGTACATACAGTACAGAAGCAATTTACCTGTGGTAAAACTTATCCAGAAAGAAAATCCAAATCTTGTCCTCAGAATAGAAGTTCCAAAATGGATGTTGCATATAGGTACCTGTCTAACTGTTGCAAATGATATGAGCGAGAATATTATACACACTGCAGTTGCAAACATCATACAAATTCCATACAAAGGGACTGGAATACAGAAAAGGACGTTGCTGAGAATCCATGCACAAAATGCCAACCTGAAAAAAATAACACATATAGGAACAGAATAAATATGATTGTTTTTTTAGAAAGAACATTAAACCATTGCCAAACTGGGTTTATAGCCAAGTATCTCTACTGCAGAAAAAGTGCATGTGCAGACACACACTGGAAGCCTTCAGCTAAAGGCGATATCTATATTTCTGCCGAAAAAGTGCACGTGCATGCACACGCTCTTCAGCTAAAAGCTATGCCTATACGTCTTGTGTGTTGCTGCTGCCAGGTGAACTGCTCCCTGTGCATTGCTATGTACTGTATGACCCACAGTTAGTGCTTAAAGTGACTGCAGCCATATTAGTGTACTTACAACAACTTTTTAATTTACACTAACTCAGCTTTCAGTGTTTTTTTATGCTTCGTCCAAGAATTACAATACACAAAGGTTTAGAAAAATGAAAAGAAAGAATCTGCAAAGACAAAAATATGTGAACACTCAAAAAGCCGAGCTGTCACACAATTGTATAAGAGTGATTTAGAAAACTGAGGTCCCCATTCATTTGTTTATCCCTTGTGTCAAACAGCATTATCAATCATAGTTCAAAAGTTTTTCTTTCCTGAGTATTTCTAAAGTACCTTTAAGAATAAAAACATTTATTTCTTTCATATGATGATCTGGTTCTGAGAATATATGTCCCCCGGTGTGTTGTAACCCTCTTTCTTGAGCTTTCTTATGGTGTGTCTGTCATTCATTTTTATAATTTGTGTCCTGTTTTTCCAATATACCATCCCTGGTTGCACTTGTTGCATCGAATTACAGAATATAACTGGATACTAACATTTATAGGTAAAGTTGATCCAGGGAATATCTGATTTCCTCTTGGAGGATCAGGAAGGAATATTTTTCCCTGCAGGAGCAAATTGGTTCATGCTTTGCTGGGTTTTTTTTGCCTTCCTCTGGATCAACTGTGGGTATAGGATTATAACTTTTTTTTTTTTAATGGTTGAACTGGATGGACTTTTGTCTTTTTTCAGCCAGATTAACTATGCAACTATGAATGAGGTATGTCCCATTGCTAAAGGTTCATCTGTATGATCCATTTGGGTGGTTGATGATTGCCTGAAAACCACCAGGCATCCATCAACCACCAAGACCAGAACTGAGGATTGTTGCAATATTTAAGTGTTGCTTTCTCGGTTATGATGGGTTGCAGCTCTTTGATTATCTTTTTTATACTTTCAAGTGCTGGATTGAATGTGGAAGGTGAACGACTTTTTCCTTTTTTTCTCTTTGTATTGTAGGAGATTTTTTTTCTTTTGGGTTTTTAAGGCAGTGTTTATGTGTGTACTGATAGTTGTGTTGCTGTAATTGTTGCAATTGTACTTGTGAAAGTTACAACCTTTCTTGCATATATGTTTACCACTGCTCAAGGTAGAGATACTTCCAATCTCCAAGCACAACTCCTCCTGTAGGTGCTAGCACAGCTCCTGTGCTGCATAGATGAGAACAAAGGAAGTCCGATCGGCTGCACTCCAAACAATCCACTTTATTGAACCGAGATGAAAACAATACAGAGAGTGGAAATACAGAGGAGGACTGGCAGGTAAACGTGTTTCATGCCAAGGACAGCGTTTATTCATTACCACAACCTTGCTTATTGAAGAGTTCTGTTTTCACTCTCAGATATTTATTTCTCTCTTCTGGGTCAGAGCATATGCGGTGGTATCTAGTGCCCTAGCTATGTATTATGGCTCGTTTGAAGTGTTGGGTATGGAGACTGAAACTATGAAGAAAGCTGGATCAGTAGGTGGGTTTCATTTATGGATTTTTCAGGTGGATACTATCAGTGTTTAGAAAGTTCACATGTGTACTTTACTAGTCAGTTTTTAAAGTGTTACTAAACCCAGGGTCCTGCATTCACAATACAGTATCTGGTCTCAAACAGTACATACAACATGGAAATGCAATTATTGTAGTAAATATAAACTGCTACATACATTTTCTCATCAACAGTATATAGCAGACTTGTGACTCCTATCTGTGTCCAGCTGAGCACTGTGTAAAGCTTGTAGGAGGAGTTTTAATTTTCCTATAAAACTGTCTTATGAGGCTGCATAACCCCTGACCATCTGTTTGGACAGTGCTGATTGGCCCTGTGCTGATCACATGTACCCTGCCAAAGAAAAAAAAAAACCTCTCTAGCAATACACACTAAACTGAGCATGTGCAGAGTGACTCCGAGAGCTCTCTACTATCAGTAGATAGATTGGGGACAGAAGAAGAAAGGGAGGACCAGAGAAGACAGGATCTAATCAGCCTTTTTAAACAATGTAGATGATTAGCCCCTTAGGTTCCACATTGAGTATAACAAGCATGCTTTACTGCATATACAGACTGACTTTACTGTTGTGGCTTTAGTAACACTTTTAGGATAAGGACACCTTTGGAACATGTTACACATTCCAACCATATTTAGAGTGGAACACGTGACATGTTCCAGCTCCTGCCCCCTCTCCCCTCAATCCCCCTCCCTCTGCCAGCAGGTGGGGGTTCTTGTCCTGGCTCTCATTGTCACTTTTTAAAAACGTGTGTTGTGCGGGGCTCCGCCTACACAGCTGCATCATTCATTCACCAATTCCTGTAAATGAATGGTAGATGGACTTGCAGTTCCAATGGGCAGCAGGGGTGCTGATGAGTGCTCTCATGGTAGACTGACATGTCCTCTGGCTTTCAAACAGAAAGCCCAAACAGAGGTAGGGGCTGAAAACTGGAGGACATGTCTTCAGTAACCCACATTGTACCTGTTGTCAACTGTTCGCGCGGCCAATGTTTTCCAGGCTTCTGCTGAAAAAAAATAAATACACATTTTTTTTTTTCTGCAAAAATATGTACATTTATTTTTTTTCTGTAAACTTAACCTTTAAGTTTGATTGACAGGTGAAATGTATTAACCACTTGCCTAACAGGCACATTTGCTCCCTTCCTACGTGGTTATGAAACACTGTACCCAGATGAATTTTGTATCATTTTTTTCACACAAATAGAGAATTCTTTTGGTGGTATTTAATCACCACTGGTATTTTTAATTTTTTGAGCTATAAATGAAAAAAGACTGAATTTTTTTTTAAAATGTGTTTTTCTTTGTTTCGGTAATAAAACCTTGCAAATAAATAATCTTTCTACACAAATTTAAGCCAAAATGTATTCTGCTACATTTCTTTGGTGAAATTAAGTCAAATCAGTGTTTATTATTTAGTTAGTAGGAAAGTCAAAAGAGTCCACAAATTAGGGGATATACTGTATCTAAAAAATAAATCCTGGAGGTACTGACGGCCTATCTAATTTCTTGAGGCCCAAAAATACCAGGACAGTACAAATATCTCCCAAATGACCTGTTTTAGGAAAGTAAACAGTTGTAAGTATTTAGTAAGAGGCATGGCGAGTTTTTTTAAGTTTTTTGTCATAATTTTGTGGAAAATGAAGAAATGAAAAAAAAATTTCACAATTTTTTTTTTTTTTACACACTGTCACCAAAGCAGTACAACGTCATCATATAACTGCAGTGGCGATCAGGAACACTGACTGGTGAGAGTTTATAAAATAAATAACTAAATACATATAAATAATTTATATTTTTAACCGTTTCAATACCGTGTGATTTTACACCTTCCTGCCCAGGCCATTTTTCAGGTTTCAACGCTCTCACACACTTTGAATGACAATTGCGCGGTCATACAACACTGTACCCAAACTAAAATTTTATCATTTTCTTCACACAACTAGAGCTTTCTTTTGGTGGTATTTAATCACCGCTGGGGTTTTTATTTTTTGCTAAATTAACAAAAAAAGACCAAAAATTTTGAAAAAAAAACACATTTTTCTTTGTTTCTGTTATAAAAAGTTTACAAATAAATAATTGTTCTTCATAAATTTAGGCCGACATGTATTCTGCTACATGTCTTTGGTGAAATAACCCAAATTAGGATGTATTTTTTAGTTTGTAGGAAAGTTATAGAGTTCACAAACTATGGTATAGATCTGAATATTGATCAATCCTGAAGTACTGACAGCCAATCTAATTTCTTGAGGTCCAAGAATGTCAGAATAGTACAGATATCCCCAAATGACCCCTTTTTGCAGAGTAGACAGTCCGACGTACTTCATAAGAGGCATGGCAAGTTTTTTGAAGTTGTATTTTTTTGTCATAATTTTTCGGAAAATGAAAAAATTAAAAAAAATTATTTTCACTATTTTTTTTTTTTACATACTGTCACCAGTGCAGTACAGCGTCTTCATATAACTGGCATGGCGGTGAACATGGACACTGACTGGTGACAGTATGAAAAAAAAAAAATATATATATATTTTTTTTTATTTTTTTTTATTTTTTTATTATATTTAATTTTTTATTACATTTTTTTAAAGATTTTTTTTTTTCATATTTTACTATGACCAAAGTAGTACAATGTTACCATAGTAACATTGTACTACTTTGGGGAGTGATCAGTATTTTTTTTTTTTTTTTTTTATACACAGTTTGCTTCTAGCAAAGAATTACTTTGCTATAAGCAAGCATTTAGCTGAATGAAATCGATTCATTCAGCTTTTTTTTTTTTTTTGTGCTTAGCTGTGATTTGGTCACAGCTAATCACATGACATGTGCATGTGACCTGCTGTGTGACCATTCACAGCTAGGCACTAGTATACAATGGATGGCATCATGAATGAAGCCATCCATTGTATACAACTATCATGTGACCTGCTGTGATTGGTCACAGCAGGTCACATGGTACCAGCTACGGGAGCCGGTACTCGGATCTGTCATCGGCCGTGTCCGAGGTGCACGGCCCGTGACAGATCCCGCTGCTGCGCCGCTCTGCTGTGCCGCAAACTGCGCATGTGCGGGAGCACGCCAAATGGCGTGCACCCGGAATTTAGGAGCGCATTTCAAGCCACCAAACGGCCATTGGCCGGGCGGCTAATGGTTAAGGTATTTATTTTTTAATTTTTTGCTACAGTGTTATAAAAAAATTATATATA